AAAAAAAAAAAAAATAGCCTCAGACTCACAGTCAGAAGGGCCTTAGGTTTTCTGATCCGATGCTTAGTTTAGCAGCCTTGGTTCCTGGGACTGGAGGCCAGGTGAGGAGAACCCAGGACTCCTGATTCCTCATCTCAGTTCTTCTCTACCACACTTACTTCTGGGTTCCCAGGTCCACAGTGTGTCCCTCAGTAATGGGTCACCTTCCTAGATGCTGGCCAGCTGTCCCTATCTCCTGTCTACTGATGTGCCTTGCTTGGTCAGACTAGCCAAGAAGCCTCTCCCTGGAAATCCAGAGTTGGAGAATCCTCCCCGGGCTTGTCCCGGGAGGCATTGCTCTCCAGAAGCAAGTGCTGGAGAAAGGCCCAAGGTCACCCGGGGCCATAGCTGAGGGTATCTGTATCCCGTCCATTGTGGAGCACTGCTTTCAGTGCTAGGAGGCAGAGAACGGAGCAAAGAGGCTCTGGAGACTTTGGCTATTCCCCTTCCTCACCCTAAGGGACCAGGGGAGGCCAGAGAACTGTCCTGGACAGAAGGTAGTCCCCACCCATGGGTAGCCTGCACTGGGAAGTTCTCCATCTCTGTTGTCTCTAGACCTTGGCTCATGAGAAGACTGATGCATGACACCTCTCCCTTCCTCAGCTCCTTAGCCCTATGAGATTGAAGCCTGGGACAAGGAGACAAAGTCAATAGCCTGCCTGGTCCCTTTGGCCCAGAGCAGAGACCTCCATCGGCAACCACTGAAATGTCTCCTCACTCTAAAGCACCCGCCCTAGCAGGTGCAGCTAATTAGAGGTTGGTCTTGGGCTCACTTTAGAGGCTCAGCAGGAAGGGAGGCTCATAGTCCAACTCCCTCTTTGCCATTGGGAGTCTTTCTGCTGAGGGACAGGAATGATAGAGTCATGGGGACCAGAGTGATCCCCTTTCCATTTCTAACCCAAGTGTTAGGCAACCCCAGGGCTTTTCCCAGGGTACTAGTGAAGTCCTTCACTTTTCTAGGAAGTCTAGAAGGAAACTTTCAACTCAGTGCTTCTGCTATTTCAAAACAATCTTCAGCCAAGATTGCTGCTCTTCAAGGGACTTGGACCTGGATGGTCACCTGGCCAGCTGGCAGGTCCTTATTATAAGGTGGGAGGCACTAGCCCCAAAAGAAAGTACAGGGCTCTGTAAACAGAAACTATAATCATTGCCAGAGTTCCTTAAGAAGACCCTCACCACATATAGAGACCACCTTAAAACTAGTTTCAATAAACTAGTCCTTTATTTCATTTCACTTATAGAGGTACTCACATGCATAGTTACAGACAATAAATCTACTGGATGATCATGTGTCCCTTTTTGCTTTGGCCACTAGGGAGCTCAGAACAAATCCTCAACTTACATCTAGCAAGTACATAGCATCACAGGCTGTGTATGTGTATCTGTATATTGTTCTTACTGTGAGCTTTTAGCATTTTCCTCCCTATATTTTTTCTATTCTCACATATTCTCAATAATTTACTTATACATTTGGGTATTAAATGAGTTCCAAGTAGCCATCTCAAATCTTGTGTCCAAATAGATAAAAATAAACTAAAAATATATATTTCAATCCAGGCTGTATGAACTATTTGTTTTTCTGTAAGGGACCCCTGAAAGAACAGAATAAGACAGGTACTCACCCCGCATGCATGAAGATGTAGGTTAGGTAGCGCCACGCCTGTGCTCGGAGCTGTGGGTGGTAAACCAGTGAGTTCTTCAGGTAACGTGGATGAGTTACCTGCAGTACAAATTGACCCAGTGACACCCCATTGTAGAGGAAAAAGGCAACCTGGATGAAAGCATAGAATGGCGAGGGCCTGTTACTAGGTGCAAAACTGGCCTTGAACCTCCTCTTGTGCTGACGCCGGGAGTCCCAACAGGAAGTTTTCTTTCTTTTTTTGACAGCAAGTTTTCAACTTTCCTTCTCAGAGAATGAGGGATACCCCACAGTCAGCTCCCAGGTTAGCTACAACCATCCCTTTCCCACTTCTGTTTAATTACTTTGTCATAAACGGTCCCTACATGGCCACGGGGTCTCTCTGCCCACACTTCCTCAGTGCTAATCGGGAAGGGCTTGGATGATTTTAAACTTTACGTATTTATGTATTTATTTGAATTTATTTATTTCTGAGACAGAGTCTCTCACTCTGGCACCCTCACTAAAGGGCCATAGCATTATAGCTCACAGCAACCTCAAGTTCTTGGGCTCGAGCCATCCTCTTGCCTCAGTTTTTCTATTTTTAGTAGAGGCAGGGTCTCACTCTTGCTCAGGCTGGTCTCAAACTCCTGAGCTCAAGCAATCTGCCTGCCTCAGCCCCCCAGAGTGCCAGGATTATAGGCGTGAGCCACCTTACCCAGCCTGATTTTAAACTTTAATTTCAGTAAAAACTCACTCAGCCTCTTAGGGGATGATCCATTCCATATAGGTTGATTTTTTTTAAATGTGGCAAAATACACATAAAATTTCACATCTTAATTGGTTTTAAGTGTATAGTTCATTGGCATTAAGTAATATTTTCATGCTTTCCTACCATCACCACTATTCATCCACAGAACTCATTTTGTGAAACTGAAACTCTGTACCCATTAAACAACTCCCTATTCCCTGCTCCCTCCAGCCCCTGAAAACCTCCAGCCTACTTTCTGTCTCCACGCTTTTAACTACTCTGGTATCTCAGGTAAGTGGAATCATATAGTATCTGTCTTTTTGTGACTGGCTTATTTCACTCAGTGTGTTTTCAAGGTTCATCCAGGTTGTAGCCATGTATCAGAATTCCCCTCACCCCCCTCTTTTTTCTGAGACAGAGTCTCACTATGTAGCCCTTGGTAGAGTGCTGTGGCGTCACAGCTCACAGCAACCTCAAACTCTTGGGCTTAAGTGATTCTCTTGCCTCAGCCTCCCAAGTAGCTGGGACTACAGGCACCTGCCACAACGTCTGGCTATTTTTTTCATTGTAGTTGTCATTGTTGTTTTTAGCAGGCCCAGGCTGGGTTCGAATATGCCAGTCCCGGTGTACATGGCTGGTGCCCTAATCCCTGAACTATGGGCACTGAGCCTGAATTCCCTTCTTTTTTAAGGTTGAAAGATATTCCATTGTATGTGTATGCCACATTTTGTTTATCCATTCATCCACTGATGGACACTTAGGTTGCTTCCATCTGTTTTTTTTTGTTGTTGTTGTTGTTGTTGCTGTTTTTTTTTTAGAGATAGGGTCTCGCCCTGTTGCCCATGCTAGAGTGCAGTGGTGTCATCATAGCTCATTGTAACCTCAAATGCTTGGGCTTAACTGATCCTCTTATCTCAGCCTCCTAAGTAACTGGTGCTGTAGCTGGGTGCTACTACACCCAGCTAATTTTTCTATTTTTTTGTAGAGATGAGGTCTCACTCTTGCTCAAGCTGTTCTCCAACTCCCTGGATCCTCCCACCTTGGCCCCCTAAAGTGCTAGGATTACGGACGTGAGCCACCATACCCAGCTGCTTCTACCTTTTCATTATTGAGAATAATGCTGCTATGAACTCTTCTAGTCCCTGCTTTCAATTCTTTTCATATATACTCAGAAGGAGAATTGCTAGATCATATGGTAATTCTATGTTTAATTTTTTGAGGAAACGCCAGACTGTTTTCCATAGCAGCTGTACCATTTTACATTCCCACCAACAGTGCACAAGGGTTCCAATTTCTCCACATCCTCACCAACGCTCCACATAAATTGATTTTGCACATAACTGAAGCATACTTTTTGTTTGAGCCCTAAAAGGGTATTTATTTTACCTCTTTCTAAAATGCACCATTTATGTCTCTGTGTTCTTAATCAGGACATATGCATAACTATTTAAGGATGTCCCAGGCAACAACCTGGGTAGTAAGAGTGATGTCGCCTCCAGCAACCCCAGGAGGATGGGGAGTGTGCTTGTATACTCATGGCCCCAAATTCTTTAAGATTTGGGTCTACTTGAATTTTTTTTTCTTGGATTTTTTTTTTGAGACAGAGTATCACTCTGTTGCCCAGACTAGAGTGCCATGGCCTCACAGCAACCTCATACTCCTGGCTTCAAGGGATCCTCCTACTTCAGCCTCCTGAGCACCTGGGACTACAGGTGCCCACCATAACACCCGGCTAATTTTGCTGTTTTTCGTAGAGATGGGGTCTCACTCTTGCTTAAGCTGGTGTCAAACTCCTGAGCTCCAGCAATCCACCCACCTTGCCCTTTCAGAGTGCTAGGATTATAGGCCTCAGCCACTGTGCTCAGACTTAAATTTTTTTTTGTCGTTTCCCTCTCTATTGGGTTGTCAGCGGCTACTTCTTATTGCCAGTACCAAGCCCCTTCTAGTGGCTTCCTACCATGTTCCTTCTGTTTTCTGTTATGGAATCAGGAAGCTAGGTTACTAGAACTGTTAATAGACAAAGACCTTGGGCTTCAGCACAAGGGCTTTGCGATAGTTATTTCAGCTGTTTGGGCATTTGCCAGTTTCTTCTAGATTGGTGGTTCGAGTTTACACAGCTGAGATTTCTAGAAATTTGAAATAATCTAGACACACAATCTGGTTCCTCTGGACCATCTTAGCTAAATTAGTTGAATTCCTTGGTTCTCATTTTCCTTATCTAGAAATGAGTATCAGAGTGGTCATGAGGTTTATTATTAATTAATTAATTTATTTGCAGTTTTTGGCCAGGGCTGGG